CATCTTGGCAACCAGACTGAAAACCGCCACCAACCTGGACAAACTTATTTCACAGCTCGCGGCGGCGAGATGACGGCTACGGACTTCCATATCATGAACTCGAACCGTGTCTGGGGTGACTCGCCCGTTGTACACCCTATCAGTGGCCCAGACACAGACCGATACCAGCCGGAATCTTCGCAAGCTGCAATTGCTCGATTCAACAGAATGTGTATGGATAACGAATCCATCATTTCCAAAGCGGCTACGTGGGGCACACGAAGACGCAGTCTGCCTAGCGTTATCGACATGGACACCGAGAATGTCACCAGTGGAAACTTATTGAAGAAGCTTTCCATCAGCAGAGGCGAGGGAGGTCGTAGGCCAAGCATCCTCAAGGATTTGCGCGGCCTCGTCCGTCGGCCGAGTGCCAGCCATCTGCTTAAGCGGTCTAGGAGCACCAACGGCGAAAACATTCCCAAGTCGGAGGCTGCGCCCCCTATGGAGAAGCGTGAGAGTTTGCCTCATCTTCTGCCTACTGCACGAACTGGCAGCTGGGGGTCCAAGAAGACACCCACGCCTAGTATCAACACCGCTCTCGTCACCATGGGAAGCAGTGTAGCTTCAATTGGCACAACACACGCACGGAACGGTTCAATTGGCGGCACGCCCATCACATCACCAAAGAGTCCATTCAGCAGTCTACAAGTCAAAAACACGCTTCGTCGGCCAAGGAGCAAGTCGGATCTACCAAAAGCTAGCGGAAACGACACACACTCAAACCTTGTTGGCATGTGGAGAAAAACAGGCGGCCCGCCTGTGGCTGTCCTTGCCAAGAGTAACTCGACAAATGTTGACCTAGATGAGGATGACGACGACGAGGACGACCTTTACGAGGATGGTGACATGAATGCCGAATCGAGCAAGTTGATCCAGGATGTCTCGGCGAACTTCGCAGGCTTCCAAACGCATGTTCTCCGCCTGAATCCGGATCTGGCAACCAACAATAACTATCTCGTTGATCGGATCGCCCATCAGCAGGTTGTTCGCTACAAGAGCCTCCTCAGTGCCAAGGTGAAGCATCTTGGAATTGGCCAAGCCTGCACGTGCGGATCGTTCTGTTTGGCTCGCGGTGGTCGGCCAGTCCTGCTCGACCAGAAGGGCGATTCACGAGACATCGACCCTCTATCAACGGGCGCTGACTCTGGGGACGGAGACTCAACCCCTGTGGAGGGTGCTATTACCAAGGATAGCTTCCCACAGGATATACCTATGCCGCCTACGCAATCCCTCCCCGCGGAGTTCGAATGCCAGCTCTGCTTCACGCTGAAGAAGCCCAAGAAGCCCTCTGACTGGACGAAGCATGTCCACGAGGATGTACAGCCTTTCACTTGCACTTGGGACAGATGCCGTGACCCTAAGATCTTCAAGCGTAAAGCCGACTGGGTACGTCATGAGAATGAGGGCCATCGGCATCTAGAGTGGTGGACATGCGACGTTGAGGACTGTCGGCACACATGCTACCGCCGGGACAATTTCTTGCAGCATCTCGTGCGCGAGCACAAGTTTGTCGAACCGAAGAACAAGACTAAAGCCGCCATCAAACGGGCTGGTGGCGTCGATCCCACGTGGCAAAAAGTAGAACAGTGCCGTCATGAAACAACGAAGAGGCCACAGGAGGAGCCTTGCCGTTTCTGTGGCAAGCAGTTCCCCACATGGAAGAAGTTGACAGTCCATTTGGCGAAGCATATGGAGCATCTCAGTCTGCCTATCCTACATCTGGTCGCTGCCAAGGAGCTGGAGCCAGACACCATCATCAGTCCCGTGCAAGACCCCCCGCCCCGAGCTCCTTTCAATGCGCCAACTCCCCTGGATGAGTCAGTCGTCAAGAGTGAGCACTCTCTTCACAACTATGGGAACCAGTCGTCATATCAACCTCACGCCATGATGGCGAACAACAATGGTTTATACCAGAACGTGAACAGCCTTGGGTTCTCAGGGGTCGCGGGTAACTCGCAGTTCCCAGACTACATGTATTCTTCCCAGTATCCCAACAATGGTCAGCCGATGGCTCAGAACTTGATGGGCGTGCAGCCTGTCAATCGAGCAACCCAGGGATTCAACCATCAATATCAGAACACAAACAACGTGGCCATACCTACCGCGTCATATATGGGAGGCCAGCAACAATACATGTCGCTGGCGCAAGATACTGAGCCCTTTCCTGCACTTGACCACAACGCCCTAGGACTACACCAACCTGGGCAGATGGGTGTAGGTATGGCCTATGATGGACTCATGGGTCAGAGCAACATCGACGAGAACCAGTACAATTCTCAGGGGTCCATCTCACCCTATTCACACTCTCCTCTCCAAGGTGGTCAAGGTTTCTACCCACCACAGTAGATCATGCAATATCTGTGTGCCTTTGCCGAGGCCATGAAATATTCGCTTCAACCTTATCGCGTATTTAGATACCCTTTTTCATAGCAATTGAGCCGAGTTATTTCTTCAGCTGTATGGATGCGAACGCCGGAACCGGCCCTCGCTTGACGTTGTATCAATGTTACGGCCTATACCAGTGTCGGAGGAACGGTGGCGCTTAGGTTGGAGGATCAAGAAGAAATATAGACGGTCAACGGAGTCACGGAATAGTCTAAGCTGAATAATGCCATGCCCTATGGTGCCTAGCGATGTCACGCAAGAGAAAGACCGCGATCGTTGAGTAACAAGTCAGTGGGAGCGAGTGTTTTTTATATATCTGAACAATTTATGTTTTACATCGTACTCAGACCTCGATGAGACATTTGCCAACCAGCAGAGTGCCATCAACCGAGCTTTATTGACACGAGACCATATGCTTCTAGTGCCACCACTAAAGATGGAGAGGCGTCTGATATCCGTACCCAATTCCATCTAAACCCACTCAATAGCGCGCGTGAACACGGACGCGACATACCATTTCAGTGTGCCAAGTTCCAACCTAGCAATTTTTGGTCTCCACAAGAGAAGCATTTTTAGCATCCTGGGTCCAGTCAAATGTTCCAGAGATTTCCAATGAGCGGTACACGAGCGATACGGAGAGCCACAGTCAAGAAATATCTACGGAGTACGGGTGCTCTGGACTCCCGTGGGATCAGCGTGTTCATGTCTTGCCAGGTCGAACGGTTGAACCCCCCCTAGGCGGAGCTTACCTATCCGACTTTATCGAGGAACAAGCCTTTTCAAGTTCCTGGGATATTGAAGCCGCCACCCCTAAATTACCAACATTGCGCTGTTGCGCCTGCTCTGCTTCGCGGTTCCACAGTTTCCAAGGCAAAAGCGTCGCAGTCTCGGGGATAAGGGAGGTCGCTGTACATCTAAGGAGGGGAGGGAGACCCGCTTCATACGAGGCGCAATAGCGGTAATACTTACCCCGGGCCGCGGGCCGGGAAGGGGGGGGGGACGAGCCTCCGCGGAGTCACGGTTGCGATTTTTGTGTATGGATAGTCAGTGTATCCGTACGCATACCGAGTACTGTGGTTGGAATATGATGGTCGGGGTGGTGGAATGCCGGGGCGGAGCGAACGGGTGAAGTCTGGGTGATGAGTGGGAAAGTGCGACGATGCTTTCTTTTCACGGTTTATGCTCTGATGGAAGGGGGATAAATCATGAAAGGTTTCCTTGATCTCAACGGGTTCCGACCGGGACCTGGGACGGGCGGAGGTTATTCTGGATCTGGTACCTGATTGTCGGCGTACGGGATACCCTTTAATATTTTATTACCGTTTTGCATAAGGCATGGGCACACTGTAGGGAAAAAGCCGGGAAAAGGGCAGCGGGCCGGGTAGCTGGGAAATACTGGTGACAGTCTTGCTTGCTTTTATTAATCTATTTCCATCACGGGTTCTGGGCTGTGGTTGGTCGGGGGCCGTCCGGAAGAGAGGGGATTCAAGATGTGAGGGTGAGCCTATGTCCAAGCCGTGGGAGGGAGACGGTGTTGATGGTGTCTATACTGTATGTATATATATTACTTTGGTAGGTGGGAGAGTCTGGAAAGAGCAGCGGAATGAAGCTTAGAGAATAAGAAGAAGAACGTAAAACGTGCTATTCGGACTTGTGCTTCGAGAAACCAAGGGTGCCTCTCGTTGAGAGAAAACCTGCCAGAGTCATTAACTGCATTGCTTGTCTCTCGGGGCGCGATTTCTGAGCTAGAGCGGTGATCAATTTTCCAGGATTTAGATCTTATCGCTTGAGTGCCTACGGAGTATCCATCCATCTGTATGGACAAGAGGCTATGGCTGAGAGGTACTATTATTCCCGTCGTCATCGTCGCCGATCGTGTGGAAGGCAAGATAGATACCGCGGGCATGGTACAGGGCCCAGAAGCGAGGGACAGTTCATGAGGGGCCATCTACGGAGTGCGGGATAGTGAGAGTGTAGCATGAACGTCCGTACGGATGGCATTGGGGAAAGCAAGCGATAGATGATGCTTGACAATGATGACGGAGAGAGAGAGAGAGGTCGGGGTTCGGGGAAGCCGTCCTGCAGGCCTACCTAGGTTTCTTCCGGCGAGACCAGTCTGGTGGGACGACAGAAGGCGCTTAAAGCCCGAGACCTGTTGGGTATCCCGGGGCGTTGGGAAGTTTGGGAAAGACATCACGGTAGTTGAAGCCAAAGTCTGGGACGTTGGCGATGAAGTCACTTTTACTTTTTCTGGACAGGTTTTGAAAGGCGCTGCTGGGCTTCATGACCGACCCCTCTTCCTTCCCCTCAAAAGTCCTAGTGGAGAGTGTTTCCAATCACACGGTGCCACCGTCGGGAAGGAAAGCCGTGAGACAGAGACGAATGGGAGGAGGGGGTAAACCAAGGTAAATCAGGGGCTTTGACGAGTTTCGGCGACGTTTGTAGAGAAACTCGAGGTCATATTGTTAAAGAAACCATTGGAGGAGAAAAGAAAGAAACATGCTTTGTTTGACGACGGCGTGAGAACTGGATGCAACCTTTTGACGAAAGAAAGAAGGTTGCCCTTGAAAAAGACCAAGGTTTTGGGGGGTTTTGCGTTTCCGTACAGATGCTAAGAAAGGGGTCTGCAGACGTGACATGTCGTCAATATCGGATGAAAAGATTGACAACCAAGGCCCAAGGGGGCGGTGCGTCCGTCTAGGCAGTTTTGGCGCGGGGGTTCTGAGGCACAAATCGTTTGTGTTGCGTTTGCTTTACCGTCCGAGGCTCGGGCCAGAGCTGAGCTGATATGAGCTGAGCTCAGCATACTCTAGCTTGGTAGAGGTCTGCAGAGCAGAGCACTGAGGTGTCTGCACATCTGCACATAACCTATGGATAAGAGAAGATGAGACGAGACGGCGTGGTATGTCCGGCTTGGGAGGAGTGAGGTGGCATATGCACGGCACGGCACCGGACTGCGCGTTCGTCTGTTGCCCGGACTTTCTTTTGCAGAGACGGACGGACAGGAGCCGGTGGACGGATGGAGGGGCTAAATTCGTCACTTGGCTCAGGCTGTCGTAGGCTGCGAGTATCCGTAGGCTGCAGGACCAGAGGAGGACAAGCAATGGTCGGTGCCAGTGTTGAGTATGGGTAGGGCAAAGCCTAGAGATGGTATGTTGGACAATGGGCAAGCAAGCTTTGAGGGGGTTGGAATGTGGCTTAGCAGGCCTCCCGGGGGCATAGGCAACACAGGCCATTGCTAACATAAGGTATTCGTAGTTTTTACTGCGTATCCGTACTCCATACGTACATTCCTATGGCAGGTGAGTAGACTGCGGAAAGGTGGGTGGGGGAAGCGGACGCGGGAGATGGGATGGGAAGAAGTGGGTGATCCGAAGTCATCATCTTTTTAGGTTCAACTCGTGTGTGAAAGATCAGGATTGCCCTGCCTCACTTCACATCTTAGTTGCGTGACTGCGTGACTGCGCAAGTTAACAGCCGTCAGAACGCACAGGTACTCCACAGCCGCACATACTGAGGTAAGGTACAATGCAGCGGCTGTGCCTGCGGGTATTGTAACTACCGTGCCCTATTCCTCTGTATGGAGTACACAGAATCTTCTTCTTATTTTTGCTCTCAAGGTTTGGGGTGAATGGACCTGAGATGATGGGATATTGACCTGTTGTACATGATAATGCAGACGTAGCGATCCTTATCCCTACACAGCATCGCGATATGAACGTGGTAGCGATGATGGATAAGCGACGCGGCTTGGATTGTGACGTGGGGACATTCCGACATTGAGGTGAGGATGAGATGGCGGAAGCATGGAGATGAGGAGGGGTGTGTGAGATTGGGGTTGGAAGACAAACGGTTATTTTTACACGGTAATCCAGGTTCTTAATCTTAGCAGGGTATCAACGGCGAACGCAATCCCGATTGAATCGAACCGTGTCCATCAACTGATTGTTCTCTTTTTCATGTGCCGACCAACCTGGATATAGAGTGGCCTCATCACAATTAGTGACCAAAGTCGGTTTATGCCCGTTGACAAACTGTGGTTACTGTGGTTCTCGACAGGCTTGTGACGAGATTGACCGACCTGAATTGATCAACGTGGCAGCGGCAAGAATTTCCCGTAGCGCCTGGGCTTTTGATCATGTTCATCTGCTTTCCCAAGACGAATGGGGGCTGGATCACTGGAGAAAAGACGGAATCAAAACCACCGATTGGTATCATGGTGTTTGAGTCTTTTTCTCTGTTTTGTTTCTACAATGACGGTGTGCAAAAAACTTGGATAGACTCCAGTGAACTCATGAATCGGCCACAATCAAGAATTTTCCCACCCGCTTCTCAGAGTCCCAGATTTCCAGCTGAGAGCTGGATAATTGATGATAGATAAGACAATGTCATTGGCGAAAGACGAGGTTGCTCCTCCTTCTCCGTGATGGCGCAGTTTCAGACAGGACCGGGGGTGCAGGGAATGATTTGGTTCGGGCTTCCCTGCCACACCTACTTCCTCTCTCTCTGTGTCTTTCTCTTCCTTCTCTGCTTTTGCCGCGTAGCTTTTAGAACAGCGATAGCCAATGGCTCCTATGGCTCACCACCTGGCAGAAAAAAAGATGAGTGAAGCCCCCCCCCGTTCTGGTAGTCGAGGCCGTCCGGCGTCCCGACCAGTCCCCATGTCGATCCACCAGTCCCATTCTGGCTAAGCCCCTTGACGGGGACCCCTGACGCCAATACAGGGGCGCGCGGACGGAGTGCGGTTGTTGCGGGCTGGGACGGGTGGGATGCAGAGTTGAGTTGTGCCTGTCCATCACCGTACACGTATGTACATAAAAAAGGTACCGTTTTACTGACTTTGACTCGGCACTAGCTCTGTTTTTTGCCCCTGAGTCTAGAGTTTTCTTCGCTCGCGTATCTGCCAGGCCAAGGAGGCACTGGACTCGGCGTCACGCGTGGTCGCTGACGACTGCTGAACCTTAGTCACCGGGCAACAGGACAAAGACAACGTACGGGAAAACGGCGGAGGAGGTTGGATTACTCGAGAATGTTCATGATTCACCGTTGGTCACTGGTGTCCCTCAGTGTCTCTGATTGTAGAGCGGAATTGCCGAGACCTGCTCCTCCTCGAGGCATTGTTTCAGACTCCACAAGAAAGAATGGGCGAGCCGTGTATCTTTATGTAAGGTTAACTTGGTGTACAGGTGTTTATCCACGGCATGGCGTCACGGCGTGCGAAGTGTGTGTGTTCGAATAGCAACTTGGATGAATTGAATCCTTATGACGGTTTATACATACAGCAGGCCAACCGTGCCTTACTGCCGTTTAATGCTCCGTACGATAGGCTATCTGTATCTGTATCCATACCACCTACTATGCATGTACTCCGTAAGCTGAATGCAGATTGGAAGCTGGGTATCAATTACCTTCCTTGCTGCCCGCCGTGGCCCGGTCCAACGGTAATTTGATCGGGGGCGGGAACGTCAGGCAGGTTCCATCTCTGCGTGATTGCTTGTGGAAAGTAAAGTGTCTTATGTAAGGCGGTACCTAAGAAACCCAAGCAACCTGTACCTTGGAAGAAGTACCTTCAAGCTGATGATCGAGGCTCGAGGAAGGTCGCTTGTCGGTACGTATCGCCGTCGCTCACTTCCAGGCAAATTGTTCCTTGCTCCAATCCCGGACCCTCAATCTCTTGTTTCCTCACACCAGCAAGGACTTCGACCACGACGGAGCCAGTCTGGACTGTTCGACCACACGACACCGCGGCTGGCCTAGACAGATGCCAGCGGGGGGCTCAGATGGGGGTGTGCAGGTGCTGCCTTAGTTTGACTTTTTCCCCATCTGGTTTTGCTCGCAACTTGCAAGACCTTGCGCCGCCGTCTGTTTTCACTTTGCATCAAGGCCTGGCTGGTACGTACTGCTTTTTTGATAGAAGACTTTCGTAAAGAAAAAAAAAAAACTAATGTGTCTTTGCAGCCTTCCTGCCACAGTAAGCTGATATTTACCATCTACCGGTCATCGTATTCACTACCCGCCCCCTCTTCCTCGCAGTAGCCGCCCGCCACCGCCGCTAATACGCCTCGCGCCGTCGAACGGCCAAGAGAGATAGAGTCGGCGACAAGCAAGCCGCACCATGGTATGCTAAAGCCAGTGCCGCCGCCAGTCTGGCGCCATGGTATGCTCATGCTACCTTCCCCCAGACCACGCTGAGGAAATCAGGAACGGGAGGAGATGATGGGCTGGTTTGGCTGCGCTGGGCTCCAGAGAGGGCCCAACGAGGGACCCAGTTCGTCAGCGCCGCTGCGTGGGTCGACCCAATCCTTGGGCTATTACTGGACATTTGAACCAGCGCAAGGGCAGAGACGCTCTTGACCAGGGTTGACGGCCTTCCGGCTGGTTGACGTTCCTTTGGACTCTGGAGCCTTTGGATGTGCCTGGATGGGGCAAGGATCATGTCAGGGACGAGGTTCCAATCGAACCTGCGCCCGGTGGAGGCGACCAGGATATTGAACACGACCTCCCACAGATGGTTCCTCTCCCCGTCCTGTCTCGTCCCAGTGGGAGGAGGGAGGAGAAGACGGATCAGAGACGGTGCTAGCAGCTGTGGTTCTGTGGACAAAATCCGTCTAGCAGCAAGGCAAGAGGGAGAGCGCGAGAGGCTCGGAGACCGTCCAGATTGTTCGTACCGTTGTTCGTCTTCGTATGGTGTGTGTGCGTTGCCCCATCCACACCAATCCGCACGCCATCCCAGGGTCCTTGTCCCTCTTTGCATGGGGGCCCGTGGACGAGAACAGACGACGCTGAGGTCGCTTCCAGGCTTGGGGCCCCATCTCCCGCCAACCATCGATCGCCAATCGCTTCCCCTTCTCGCTCGTTCGTGTCGTTCCTTTTCCTCCTCTGTCTCTCTCTGCGTCTTGTCTCTGCTCCCTCCCTCCCTCCTCACACTCCACCACCACCTCCTGACCGGCGTGCATTCTCAGCATCGTCACCTTTCGCTCGTTTCATATACCCGCCCGTGGACTTTAGCCTCTTTTTTCAGCCACTGTCTCTCTCTCTCTCTTCGCCTCTCTGGCTGTTGAAGAAACTCTCTCTCTCACTCCAATACACTGCTCACTCTCTCGATCTATCATAACCTCCGACGCCCACCTCACCATCATAGGTTTTCAACCTGCTTCCGCCGATCTATCTCTTTCGGCGTACAAGAGGCCTCATACGGGCTCATCCCATCAACACCCTTCGGGCTTTGCAAAGGCACCTCGCGGCCAGCCCATATTCCCCTTCTTTCCAGGTTGATCCTCGGCCTCTTTTATTTCATCTCTCTCGTGCCATTCTGTAGAAAGCTGTGCTTGCTTCTTGTTAGCCTCTTACCATTTCACAATCCTTCGACTTCACTAGTACAATCCAGTTGCTTGTTTCCTTTGGTCCACGACTCTCGCAATATATACCCTCCCGACGCGACGACGACGACTCGAATAGTATCAATCGATTCACCAAAGAAAACTCACAACCCGGTCCCCGACGAACACGGAACCCCCCTATCTCTCTCACCACCAAACTCGTTATCAAAGCGTATCAATCTGTTACAGCAGGGAAAGGGACGGCATCAATCGCTGGGAGTACAGGAGAAAGAAGCACGAAGAGGCTCAAAAAGTATAGACTTGGATATACCCACTATCACACGGCTTTGGGGAATATTTTCGATTCCCGACAGAACGACGAACAACGAATTTTCTACCACAACTGTTTTTTTTGACAACAAAACAAAATGACGCGAACTGCGCCCAACTGGGGCCCGAAGCGGCTTTTGGCCTTGGCCACCGCATTTGCCTCAAGCACCCTCGCCGACTCAGTCCTTAAGACAAGCAGCTTCACAACCTGCGGTAACGATACCGCTATTACTGTCCAGAAGATTGATATTCAGTACAACAACGACAACAAGACCGTCACCTTCGATGTAGCAGGAACGAGCTCCAAGGTCCAGAACGTCACAGCCATCTTGGATGTCAGCGCCTATGGCACTGCCATCTACTCCAACACGTTCAACCCATGCGAAGCAGGAACCTTTGTCGAGCAGCTCTGCCCTGGTATGTGCCGGCCGTGGATGAATTGATGTTTCAAGTACGGAAATGCTAACCAATCTCAGTCCCCGCCGGCAGCTTCTCTGCCCGTGGCACTCAGAAGATTCCTGATGAGTATGCCAGCATGGTCCCGGATATCGCCTTCGCAGTCCCCGATATTGCCGCTCAGGCCAAACTTCAGCTCAAGACTCTCGACACCAACGAAGAGGTCGCCTGTATCACGTCCCAGGTCACCAACGGTAAGACAGCCAGCGTCGCTGCCGTCTCCTACATTGCCGCCGGTGTGGCCGGTCTCGCTCTTGTCGCCACCGGCGTGTCTGCAGTCAGCTCTGCTTTCGCTGGAGGCAGCGCCGCTCTCAGTGGTAGCGGTACTGGAGGTGCTGGTACCATCAGCCCCAGTTTCACCGAGGTTTTCGGATGGTTCCAGGGCATGGCCATGAACGGCATGCTTTCCGTCAGCTACCCTCCTGTTTACAGCAGCTTCGTCAAGAACTTTGGTTTCTCTTGTGGCATCATTCCCTGGACCGACATGCAGGTCGCCATTGACAACTTCCGTGGTGCGACCGGCGGTGATCTGAGCAAGGACAGCGTCGAGATCCTCAAGAACAGCACTCTCATTCTCGCTGACGGTTCTACCGTCGACGGTGGCAGCGCCCTCTTCAAGACCAAGCGTGCCGTCGAGACGTTCCACGCTCTTGTCCTCAGAGAGATTGAGACCAGCGTCAACGGAACCACTAGCGGCGACTCTGACGACCCGGTCACCACTATCAAGCAGAAGGTCCAGGGTATCACTGCCTTTGTCAACACTCTCAGTGTCCCCAAGTCCAACACCTTCATGACCGTTCTCCTCATCGTCGCCATCGTCATTGCCGCTATCATTGTCGGAATTCTCCTCGTCAAGGTCATCCTTGAGTTCTGGGCCCTTTTCGGTAACTTCCCCAAGGGCCTCGCCGGATTCCGTGAGCACTACTGGGGATCCATTGCCCGTGCCATCACCTCGCTCATTATGTTGCTCTATGGTATCTGGGTCTTGTACTGCATCTTCCAGTTTACCAACGGTGATTCATGGGCTGCCAAGGTTCTTGCCGGTGTCAGTCTTGGCATCTTTACCGGCATTCTTGCCTTCTTCTCTTACAAGATTTGGAGCACTGCTCGCAAGCTGAAGCAGGCCGAGGGCGATGTCAGCGGTCTCTACGATGACAAGAACAACTGGATGAAGTACAGTCTCTTCTACGAGTCCTACAAGAAGGACTACTGGTGGATCTTCGTCCCCGTCATCGTCTACCTGTTCGCCAAGGGTTGCATTCTTGCCGCTGGTGATGGCCACGGCATGGCCCAGACCTCTGCCCAGCTCGTCGTTGAGGGTCTCATGCTTTGCCTTTTGCTGTGGAGCCGTCCCTTTGAGCGCAAGTCCGGCAATGTCATCAACATCACCATCCAGGTCGTCCGCGTCCTCTCCGTTGCCTGCATCCTTGTCTTTGTTGAGGAGTTTGGCATTGCGCAGACCACCCAGACCGTCACCGGTGTCGTCTTGATTGCCGTCCAGTCCGCTTTGACTGGTGTGCTCGCTCTTCTGATCATGTGGAACGCGATCAACGCCTGCTGCAAGGAGAACCCCCACCGCAAGCGCAGAAAGGAGATGGGTAAGTCTACTTCCACGCTTTTTGAGTATCACCTTACTGACCCCCTTTACAGAGAAGATGCAGCGCGACATGGACACCCTCACTCCTCTAGACGCCCGCAACTCTCTCCTCATGGACCGCAAGGATCCCGAGGCCGGTACCACCTTCTCCATGTCGAGCGTCCCCGAGAAGAAGGACCATCGCCCAGAGTCTCCCGACCACTACATGGGTGCCGCGGGCAACGCCCCCTACCGCCCTCTGGCGCCTAGCACGCCTTACGGCAACGCCCACCACGACCAAAGCCGCGAGAACCTCGTCCTTGGCGCGGCACCCATCGCCGACAGGGCGCCAACACTGCCCAACGTGGGCGGCGACTTCAACCACAACCCCCACGGCGGCTATGGTGGTGGCGGTTACCGGGGTGTGTATCACTGAAAGAAAAACTGAAAGAATCGGGAGGGAGACGCCTTGACTGGTGTGTGTACCTGTTGGAATGACAATGAACATAGAAGTGTGGAATGTATGACATATGGATCTCTCTTAGCTGTTCACAGAGATTCCAGAAAGGGAGCCACTTATATCCTATTTACTTTTTCCTTTCCTTATTTCTTATTTTATATTTTCAAAAACACTTATTTCCTTGGGTCTGCTCGTCCTTTGTCCGTCTCTCACATTTTTTTCACTCAAATATATCTACGGATATACACAACAAACGTTTTACACCCTCTGCAAACACCAATGGTTATGATATCGACGGCTGCCTCTATGTGTGTTTCTCTTTCTTTTTTTTACCTTTTTATCGTAAAGGGGAAGAGGGAGAGGGAGAGGAGGAACCCTTTTATGCAGTCGTTGTCAACCACATACACAACCAACCAGGCTCTATGTCCCCTGTGGGGATATACACGTTTTATGACCGCAAGGTAATCTTCTTCTTTGGGGTTCAAAAGGCGGAGGGTTTGCATAGCGGAGGAATGGGCCTCGGATAAGTATATACCTATAAATGGAACGCAAATTAATAGTATTAAGTGTGTGACGACTGTTGAGTGATGAGTCACGAGTGATGTTGGAGTCGAGATATTGAGGATGTAGATGATACCAGACCATTGGCTCTTGAAGTATGTTTATTGTATTAAGTTCAGGTACAACAGTCTTCCCAAAGGGGTAAGAAGCTCAAGGTATCTGGACAAAGAAGCTGTTCAGAAAAGCTCGCCTTTGTCTTGTCGCTAAGGAAGGAACACACATGGCAGGGACGGGGCCACTTCTTCTTTCAGCGAGGTTTTTGGAGTCCAGTTGCCTCCATTAAACTGGCGTGTGCGAGAGATTGCCTCTAGGCACTGTAGACCACACGCAAAACACGCACGGGACACAGTGCGAGTGAAAAGGGCTGCCCCTCATCACCCCACTGAACGTCATCCCTACGACGGCAACTCAAACTTCCAAGATTGGTCTCACAGCATCCAAATTGGCCCAAAGTTGGCGGCTCCAGCCTTGCTCTGCATTCGTTTCTTCCGCCCTGTGTGGCCGGCCTCATCTTGCGGTCATTTCAGTTACACGGCTCTGATCGTATCTGATCTCTTCCCTCCTCGATCTTTCCTGCGTCTGCAACCATCGGCTTGGCATCCCGGCTGGTCGGCGACGCCTGCAGCACACACACACACACACACACACACACAAACGGAAGCTGCGCCAAAAGTTGCTCTTGCCTCACTACAGAAGGCACAGGGAAGAGGGAAGGGGAAGAAACACCATCCATCTGTTTTTTGGGCAGAAGCTTTTGACAGATCCAAGGCCCGCCCAACATGAGTGAGTTGCAAAGAGCTTGGGCCAAGAGGAAACTCGACCCCATGCATCCTCTGCCGGAGCCCCTCAACGACCTCGACGAGGAACCCGAGACCGATCAGCTCCCCGAGTTGCCGGAGCACATGGACGACGGAGACTCCTCCTCGGCCTCGTCCGCCTCGTCCGCTTCTTCTACCGGCACCATCATCCCGTCTCCGAGCCAGAACCTCTTTGCTCGACCGCAAGGGTAGCGTACTTTCTCTTTTGCCTTTTGTTGTTCTTCCCCTCTCCCTCCATTGCCTTAAGGTCTGAGGAAGGAAAGCACATTGACGATTGCACGGGGACGCTAATTCTCGCTTCTAGTGTTTCGAGGGGCCGCACTCTGGAGCAAATCCCGTGGACAACCTACTTTGAGCGAGAACTGTTTCTGAAGCCCAAGGTCGAAGACGATGTTTCTGCCACCGTGACGTACCACGCCTACCTCAATTCCCCTGTGGGAAAGGGGCCCCTCTTCGTCATGCACCACGGTGCCGGCTCCTCTGGCCTCTCGTTCGCGGCTCTCTCGTCCGAGATCAGGAAACGCCTTCCTTCGGCCGGCATTCTTTCTCCGGATGCTCGCGGCCACGGCTCGACGGTCATCACGGATGGCACCGAGCTCGACCTCAAGCTCGACGTCCTGACGGAAGATCTTTTCAGCGCCATCCAGCTGACAAAGGCCCAGATGTCTTGGCCTGAGCTTCCTCCCGTCATACTCATCGGACACTCGCTGGGCGGCGCCGTCGTCACGGATCTAGCCAAGTCGGGGAAGCTGGGCAACGCTCTGCTCGGGTACGGGGTTCTGGATGTGGTGGAGGGCTCGGCAATGGACGCTCTGCAGAGCATGCTCACATACCTCTCAACGCGGCCCACCGGCTTCGCCAGTTTACAGTCCGGTATAGACTGGCATATCCGCTCACGAACCGTCCGCAACTCCGTGTCGGCGCGGACGTCGGTGCCAGCGCTCTTGGTGTACGACGACTCCATCGACCCGACGAGGCCGTGGAGATGGCGAACGGATCTGGCGGCGACGCAACCGTTTTGGGAAGGCTGGTTCGTCGGCTTGAGTAAGAAGTTCCTCGAGGCGAGAGGTGGGAAACTGCTTCTGCTGGCGGGTACGGACAGGTTAGACACGGAGTTGACGATTGGCCAGATGCAGGGTACGTTCACTGCCGCTCTCTTTCCCTGCACCATACTGACTGAAGCTCTAATACAGGCAAGTACGCATTACAAGTGTTCCCAGAGGCCGGGCACTTCATCCAAGAGGATCTTCCAGAGAAGACGGCGCTGGCAGTCGTGGACTTTTACAGGCGGAACGATAGGAGTGCCTTGGTGTTGCCGCCCAAGGTTGGCGATCTGCTGAAGCAAGGCAAGAGAGTCTAGGGGTCCCTGTTCTGTGTGAATACTGCTCCACAGCGAAAGCATATAACCTCCCTTTTCTTTTCTCGTACATTCATAGTTATACCCCTAGCTTTCGTAAGCTTGGTCAAGCAGATCAAAAGCAATTTACACGATGGTTAAACCACAAAGTCTAGCAAAGTTTCGAGTATACCCTGTTACTGTGTGACCTTACATCCTACTGCTTGTCTGTTGTTCCTTGCGTCAACTCTACTAAACTAAAGCCTGGGGTCTTCAAGTCTTGCAGGACGTCTGCAGCATACTCACACGATTACAGACGTATGAACAGCTTACTCGAACTCAACAATGACTTCAATAGGGAAGGATGTATCTCTCCTGGATGATAAGCTAGACGCGAGGCGTAGTTTGACCCGGGGTTCCGGGGCTTCATCCAATAATTTGTCTTGACCTTAGTCGACTTGCCGCCCTCCGTCACCGCCTCCGACCCTCATCGAAGCTCTTTCTTTTCATTCCTGTCCCGTGAGGCAGGTGGCCCATTCTATAATCCTCTTCTATTCCAAAGTGTCCCAGGTGGGTAAGGTGGTGTACTTTGGCATCGCATGAGTTCAGATAGCAGAAACTAGCTCTGCCTCAGCTAGCTTCTCTGAAAGGTTCGTGGGATACATACATCAGGGTCATTTCTTTTCGCCAATGGAGGTTGATGGCCTTAACTAACCAGCGTTGCCACCATGATCTCTTCAGACACACACCTGTTCGAAGACACAGCGGAATTCCCATCCGACTGTGCACACGAGAGAGTGTGTTTGCCGAGTCCCATCTCGTATGGGAAAAGATGACTCGTACTCTAGAGAGGAACTCAAAATTAAGGCCGAGTCTTTGCCCTGTTGCCTGGTGTTCTAGGTTGGGCGTATAGCATGTATAGAATATACGAGGAGAAGCACCGAGTACGATCTGTACCTAGTGTGGAGATGTTGAAGAAATTCCGAGAGTCACTAGGGCGTAAAGCAACTACCGCAAAGAAGCCAGGAAAATAGGCTATTGGGTGTTTGCTAAAGGAATCGCAAGAGTCCTTGAAGCGTGAAGAGATCATTCCTGACCCTAGATCCGAGCCGGACCTATTTAAGTACGGCTATCAAATGCTTCGTAGTTGCGGTTGAGCGATTGCGCTCAAGGCAAGCTGACGAGGGGGTGCTGAAGAAGGTATACTGGGCGCATTCTCTCCTCCCGTTTCCATCAGACTCGTGGACACTGACACTAAAGAGACTGAGAGCCAAAAAAGAGTTCACCCCCCACCCCCTCCCCCGTTGCTGAACTGGGGGCTACATCTCTTGGTGCTCATGCTGGGACTCGAACTCGGATAACCTGTCGTCCAGTAGGCTGTGGGCGTAATTTGATTGTCGACCTTGAACCACTCCACCACCCAGCCAGTTTGACCTGACCCGTCGACCTAGACGGGCGCCTGCTGGCTGGTGACGGGAATGGAGTTTAGAGGGGGTATAGAGCCTTCTCGCGGGTAATGTGTGGGAAGGCGGTCGTACTTGCCTGAGTCACGAGGAGCAACTCAGGTTTGTTTACTTTGGTCTAGACGCGCCACCTACCTACTGTACCTTATATGTAACCCGGCGGTGTAGACGAATTGCTTCGAAAGGGGATGGAAGGTTTGGCATCACCATGGTTTCCTAGACGTCAATTAGTCGTTTACGGGAGGACTTGGTCCTTTGCTGGACGGAGGCCTCTCTTGTCTTGATTAAAAAAAAACCTTGGCGACCTCTGATGCTTCAAAACGGATATGTGTTACTGGATTCAACGCCATATTCTTCTATGGTTTCCCAGGCACCAATGCTATTCAGAACACTCTGCTGGGACAGACCTCGCTCGTCTGCGCGCTCAGCGTGCCCCCTTTTCCCATTATATACGTCATTTGTGTGTTTTCACACATACCAGGAACCCAGCCCAGTTCAGTCAAGCCAGCCAGCCAGTCATGCTCATATCATTAATTACAACACAAAGGATACATCCTACGCTCCACACACACGTACACACTCACGCACACACCTTACCAGCCATCCACGACCTTGACGTATACGTGCAGCCCCTTTGACGGACGCGCCGTGACGCCGCCCTTAATAGTCATATTCTTCTCATCGTACTCCTCCTTATTTTTGAGGCTGAACTCGAACCGCCCGATCCACGAGGCGAGGATACACGCAAACTCGGCCTTTGCGAACCCTTGCCCGATACAGCTCCGCGGCCCGTGGAGGAACGTCATGAAGGCGTAGTTGCTCGTCGCACCGCCGCTGTTGGCCGTCTTCTTGCTCTCCGCGTCGCCGCCGTCGCGCGAGGGAAGCCACCTGTCCGGGTTGAAGCGGCCCGCGTCGGCGCCCCAGAGCGAAGTGTCCTTGTTGGTGGCCCACGGGCAGAGCATGATGCGCGTGCCCTTGGGTACCTTATTGCCATCGATGACGGTGTCGACGGCGGCTTCGCGGAGGGTCATGGGCACCGGGGAGTAGTAGCGCAGGACCTCGTTGCAGACGGCGTTGAGGTAGGGCATGTGGTCGATGTCGAGGGCCGTGATGTCGCCCGGGGTGCCCGGTGTCGGGAGGCGCTCGCGGATCTCGAGGCGGAGGCGGGACTGGACCTCGGGGTTGAGGCAGAGGCAGTAGATGGCCCACATCATGGCCGAGGCCGTCGTCTCGTGGCCCGCGGCGAGGAAGGTCATCATCTGGTCGACCAGGTTGTCCTCGGTGAAGCAGCCGGACTCGAGCGCCACCGAGAGGATGTCAATGTCGGTGAGCTGCTTGCGCTCCAACTTCTCCTTCTTCTCGCGGATGAGCTCGCGACAGGTGGCGCGGATGGTGTTGGCCGCCTTTGCGATGTCGCCGTTGCGCTGCAGGGGAAGGTGGTGAACGAGGTTACCCGGGAGGAGGAGACCGAGGACCGCGAGGACCTGGGCCTGACGGCTCGGCTTGAAGACGTGCTGGTAGGTCTGGTTCAGGGGGTTCGCCGGGTCGCGGATGGCGCCAAAGTCTCGGCCCATGCCGGCCATGCCGATGATGTCGAGCGTGGTGCGCGACGCCCAGTTGCCAATCTCCAGGACGGCAGTGTTGGGGCCCAGGGCGGCCTTCTCCGGGTCGGTGAGCCCTTCGGTGGCGCTCTTTGCGGCCTCGGCGTGGACGGCGTCGGTGATGGCCTGGACGCCCTCGCACGCCTTGCTCCAGAAGAGCGGATACAGGTCCTTTACGTGGCGGAAGGCGAAGGCTGGCATGAGGTTCTTGCGCTGGACCTTGTGGTCGTCGCCCTCGGCCAGCAACACGCCGATGCCGAGGATGCGGCCGATGGATGAGCGGACGGCGCCGGGCTTTTTGAAGTCGTAGTTGTGGGTAACGAGCACCTCGGCGAGGGCCTTGGGCGACGTGATCAGGAGGCGCTCCTGGTTGAACAAGCCGCGGTAGCGAATGATGCCTTCGTGAGGGATGGTGTTGATCCTGCGTGGCGCACACATTTAGTCTCTCGCCCGTCATATGCCAAGACAGCTTCCTTCGTCTCCGGTATTCTACTCACCACTCAATCATGGGCACGCCAGTCGGCTCGCGCATGATCCTCGGGTACTGTCCCATCAACCAATGATCACCTTTTGGCCCTGGAATCGAGCGCAGAGACGAGAAGTACTGGGGGAACAAGAAGACGACAAAGATGCCCCATGCCAGCATCTGTAGGGCAAAAGCACCCACGAAGGCGACTAGAAGGTGACATCTCGAGAATACTGGCTGTCGCAGGGCCAATAGTACGGCGATTGCTGCCGAACTGACGGACACTCCGCGCCAGGGGACGCTCATTGTTGCGGTTGCTCTTCGAGTCTCGTTTTCCCTTGGGAAGTGATGCCTGCGTAGCTAGTTCTCTTTGATGACGAAGACGACTCCAACGTCTACGTTGCGACAAAGAGGCGAGCTGTCCGAGATTCGAGTTGGGCAAAGCGAGATCTGTCAAAAACAGCGTCTATACCTCTCGTGAAAAGACCTCAATGTCGAAAAGCGCGCAGGAGACGGATTCGTTGGTGCTGTGTCTTTGTTAACCTGGGAAATTTGCGTAAGTCGCCAGCACTATTTTCCAACGACAAGCAAACGAAGAGGCCAGCCTGGGCGTTTAAGTTCCCGGGTAAGGGTAAGGTTATGTAAGGTAAATGATAAAATAGAAAAAAAAGAGCAACAAAGGATCAAAGCTGTTTATCGAAGTTTAAGCTCTCAATTAGAAGAGGAAAGAGGTGGTGGTGGTGGTGGCGTGTGGTAGGTAGAAGAGGGCAGGCAAGGCGAGGTAGATCCCGCGTGGAATGAGAGCCGGGTCGATCGGTTTCATGCGTACGGGGTTGCAGACATGGAACCAAAGCATCGCCAGCACATGCACACCCAGGCAAGCCGCAAAAAAGAGAGACAAAGAGAGAAACACACACACGAGAGAGAGAGGGCCCACGCACGTACCGCTTCTTCTTTGGGAAGTCCCTTATTTACAGAGCTGTTCCAACTGTTCAGTTCGTAAGGTAAGGTAGGCACTTGGTTCCTCCAAAAGTCCGTTCTTGGGTTGTCCCTTCAGACAAGGGGCCGTGGGGTGGTGAGTTTTGGCTGTCGGAGACCACAGATGGGCGAGACGATGGAGAACGGAGTTGGGATGAGACGAGACACGACGGGATGCCGGGGAGGGGGTTGGGAGAAGGGGTGAATGAAGTTCTTCAAACGACGAACCCGGCTTTTGTTGTAATCTGGGTTTATTTCAACTGAAAAGATGTGAAGAGTAACCGTATTGTTGTCAACTCTGGGGTAGTGAATCTGAGAAAGAAGATCTGAGATGTTATCTCTGATGAAAGTCGATGAAGTAACTACAAGCTGAAAGCACGTGGCATCCGAGGTCGTTGGAGTGAGCAAGGGTAGTGGAGGAGGACGTTCCCCTACTAAAGTAAAGAAAGCAAACGAGATGGAATGCTGGGGAACGGAGCTGGAGTGATGACAATGAGCCGGTCTGCCGTTGGTTGCAAGCTGCTCTGCCCCCCTCCAAAAGAGCCCCTAGCGGGTTTCTTGGCTTTTCCTGCAGCTCAGTGGAGAGAGAGCTAGAGAGAGAGCTCGGTTCGATTGCTCGACAAGGGACCTAGTTGTACGTATTTCGTTGCCTTTTTTTCTTGTTTCTTCTTCATCCGTCTTGGTATCCGTAGGCGATTCGCGGTGTATACGGGATGCCATTTCAAGATTCCGACTCCGTCTTACTCTGTTTGTCTACCTACGGATATGTTTCTCTGCAGTACGCACGGGATTCAGAAGTTCATCCGCAAAAAAAGGCAGCAGCACCACTTTCGACGAATCGGCACATGATCCGCGACTGGTGGTTGTTGGAAAAAGGTGGGATGGTAAGGGGGATGGTAATGGGGGGGTTCTATGGATGATGAGTACACTACATTTTGATGGAGACACCAGGCTCGAATTGAATGCCATTCTCGTCCTAGCTCGCCGTGGATTGGTTGCGTCGTGTCTTCGAAACCGAAATGGCCCAGCTCAGCTTGTCCAGCTATCTGGAAGAAGTTTAGAAAGGGAACTAAAAGTCCGGGACGGGATTTGAGGGGGGTCCCTGGCCGTCGTCCCAGTCCAACGGGCTTCTGGGATGATTTGTTTGCCCGATCCCACCCTTCTTCGTTCGCTGCTGTTCTTTTCTTCTTCTATCGTGTTTGGAGAATCCGGCGGGATATTGCCACCTAGGGAAACCCTTGGGAGCACTGTCTAGTCTCTCAGACTTGTTCCGTTTGCACAGTCGTGGCGCTTCTTTGCCTTTGTCTTGAATTCTCTCTCTCAATACGATGTACTGAGTTACCCTTTCCCGGTGTGACATTTGGCTCACCTTGGAACCACTACCCGTCCTCTCCTCGACCCCGAATCCCGGACCAAAGAGAGTGAGAGAGAGAAAAAGCAAAGGACACAATGTTATTGCGATTCCAGCGACTCGGTCCAGTCCCATGCCGATACCACGCCAAGCTTGGCCGTGCGAGGCAAAGGCGATTGGCTCAGTCAGAAAAGTCCGACTTGATCGTTTCGGATGGTCCCTTCGATTGGAAGGGGGACGCAGGGCCAAGTCGCATAGCATGCCTGTTTCAATCGCGTGGACAGTGCTCTTCTCTTTCTGCTTCGTCTTCCTTTTCTACATTTTCGCCTTCAGCTCCAGGACGAGTACGGCTTGCAGGAATACGGGGGGCTTTTACCCAAACAAGGTAAACGATAGCCTCTTTTTTCGAGAGCCTCACTCTCTTGCTTTTGGTTTGGCCCCTCACCTATTCGAACAAGCAGAGCCCTGGACCATCCTCTGTAAGATGGTTTTAGAATTGGGCATAGTACTGAGTACAGCATTAAGAGACGTCCCGTCTCGACGACCCGAAAAAAGCCAAATTCAAACTGATTTGTCAAAAAGAACCATAACTTAACCTTGCCCCATAAACGTCCAACTTCAGCCCAAGTCGTTGCTGTTGCGTTCTTGACCCAAACATCGGGCTGTTCTGACTGTTCTTCAACAGAAAGAAGCACAGGCCCGACCAAACCTCTCAACGACCACCAAAAGAGGCGGTTAAAACAACCAAAAAGGGACAATACAAGAAAACGGGAAACATCAAGTGCAAGAAACACACAAGCAAGCAGCACCGCCACCTTTTAGCCTTTACCATTCGACGGCAGGCCCCGTTTCCGTTTCCGCTGTCCGTGTAGGTGAGGTGAGGCTCAAAATCAAGAACCCTTCCATTCAACTCGTCTGTCTTCCAACTTACCATTCTCCCACGCTAAAGATAGCATTCGTGACGCAAACCTCTTTACCGCTTGTTTAACGGCCTACCATGAACCCATGCGTCCCGTCCGTCTTGCTGGCAGCACACGTCCGTTCCCCCCTTATTTCCAAAACATTTGATAATGCACCGCCCGGTTCTTTCGAAGCGAATGCTGCACCGCTCGGGAGAAGCGGCATATACGGAGTGCGATACCTGGGAAATTGTGGCAGAGCAGCAGCAGCAACTCTGCAGTTCTCATTCGGGTGGCAGTCTTCCGTGGCATCAGAACAGCAGCTAAGATGTGGGGTGATTAAACGGCGGAAATACATCACGACCCCCAAAAGGTCTAAATTCTACCCATCCCGTAGATCTCCCCCTCTAGGCAGAATGCACACTTCCCGTGATGACGGACGCCACGGATGCCACGCAAAAAGGGACCACATGGACATCGAGGCTCCAACCAATGGGAAATACGGCCAACCTTTTCCATCATTCATCATCCATCATCGGGCCGCGAGGAGCTCTTCTTCGCATTCGCTTACACGACTCTGCATCGATGCATGTCTGCTGGTCAGCTTTCCACTTCAACAACTCCGCAAAGAACAGAATAGACAATATCGAAAGACGAATCCCAATAAGCATAATGACGATATCACTGCCTACGCGTCAATATGTCTTGTCCGTCACATCCCCTAGCCTCACGTGAACCCAGCCACTTACACGCAACACAAACCTCGCCACCCGCTTTCTCCAAGGGTATCATCATACTACTACCATCTGATATTCTCCAACCCCCCCCCTCCCCCCATGATTCGTGATCCCCCTCCCATACGCACGCGGCAGAAATAACAAATCACCCCAAACTTCCGACGTCCTATAGAAAGGGTACTGAGGTAGGGTGCTCGCCGGAACTGCACCCCGGATACTTAACGATCCCCTCTTCCTCTTGCCCCCCTCGCCTCGTCTCCACTCGCCCGCCATCATCCTGGAAGTCAAGGGAAATCTAAGCAAACCTCCAAGCCAAAGTCTGACTTCGTCGTCGTTGCCTCCGCCTTCCAGGACATGACAAGACCTCTCCCTCCTGCTCCCCCTCCTCCCCCTCTTCATACTCCTACTCCGCCCCCGCCGGGATAACCTAAACCCCCGAATCGGACCGGGAATATCCACAGAACCACAATACGTAAAACAACACGATCTGCCGCCCTCCGTCCCGGCGGATTTCACACGGGCTAATGAGACCTTGAATTCCGTTCCGTGCGGTCCACATTGCATCCTCCGCAAGTTCGTTTTCCAACGTTTGAAAAGGGAAGAAGTTGCCGTCCAATCATCATCTAGAAGCTACGAGTCTGTGTGTCAATCAAGTCCCGTGATATCTCGTGAATACTTGTGTGCCTGCCTACTCTTACTGTCAGTTATGGAAAACCTGTGCCTTATTCCCTATGAACCAACAATTTCACCCAGACACATAGATTCTGCAACGGAATATCTAGAAAACGGAATGTGAGTGGGATAGAGTCATGTATTCGTCCGCTCAACTAACTAGAACCAACTAGACTAGCTTGCTGTGTCGCTTCCGCCATGTGTGCGGTGTCGCGTTGTTTGCGTATCGTGGCTTGCAGGCAAACAACAAATAAGTGAGTGCCCCCCAGAAATGCGTTGATGATGTGTGCACTCGGGCTGGCCACTCAAGTGGTCAGCCCTTAAAACCAGACAGATCCAACGGACCTCGTGAATCCTACCGAAAGACTTTGAATCCTGAATCATGCCATCACGAAGATGACGATCCTTGGTTCCCTGAAACGCCACTTCCACCGAAAAAATAATAAAATAAACGCCGCGGCCGATCTGTGTAAAAGGTCATCCTGCATACCGAACCGAGCCTTTCCACGAAAAAAGATTGCAGACTGATTAGTGAAACTGTCCCCCATATCCAATATGCCAATTACGTTTCCAATGCCCACGCCGTCCACGCCTACGCTGTCCACAGCCGCCAAGTCCATATTGACTTCCCTATTCCCGTACCCATGGGTTGGCTTGGAGTGACACACCATTCTCCCCACCCATCATACGCCGATGGCTTTCTTCGGGTGCTGTTAGGTCTCCGATCCAAGCGCTCGGGAGGGCTGCCGGCAGTGAGGTTCGGTTGTTGGGGTTCAGATATCCGTTTCCATGGAGCCCGTCAGGCACGCCGAGAGCGGTTGGCGCAGCGCCGTTAGGGTGGCGTGCGAGTATCGGAACTCCCTGCGTCGAGGCGCTCCCAGTCTCTCCTAGACCTGCAAAACCAGTCGCCTGATGATGGTGTTGATGCATGTTGGAACTGGAAAAGGACACCTGTGATATGCCACCGTGGTTCGTACGACTGGAGCCGTTAGATGCGAAAGCTCCACGAGGTGGGAGCAGAGCAGGAATAGCAGCATGCGCTCTCCTATTACTGTCGTATGTGCTGGACACTGGTCTAGGCCGGCTGCTGCTGAAAGTTGGTGACCCTGGGCCTTGAACACCGGTACGAGGTCGAATCCTACGCCGACTTTCACCACTGTCTGTTGGGGGAGAGCGGCGTTCACCATGGCTAGATCCAGATCCTTGCGAGCGGTTTGAGTCTTCCTGTGCCAGACTGGCGTCCCTGTCTCGCATGTAGCCAGCGTAACCAGCAAGGCCGCCAAGGTTCACATGTCCACGATTGCGGTAGTACCGGTCAAAGTTTGGGTGTGTGGATGTAATCCTGGGTTCGTGCGGCACCTTATCTCTGCAGTAAGGGCAACTGTCCGACTCCTCAAACCATTTCTTGATGCAGTGATCACCAAACACATGTTTGCATTTGGGTAGTCGGAGTGGAGCCTCCTTGACACCCTCGGGTGTTTCTACACCGAATTCGTTGTAGCAAATGACGCAGGCTATCAAATCATGTTAGTCTTTTTTCTCCCACAAAAGAGCAAGAATCCTTATAACTCACTTCTTTCGCTTTCTGATAGCTCGGCAATCGGAACGCTCTGGAGAGATTGGATAGCCGACGAAGACGCCACATATTTCGTGGTCACAGAGCCACGCATGAATTGGGCGGCCCGAACGTGGTCTTCTTCCAGAGTCATGATATGACGTGCCATTTGCGTTGGGTTTCCAGCCAATGCTATGACCTGTTCGAGCGCGCCTCGGTCGGAATCGACATCGCTGTCAGAAAGAGGGCTTTGTCTTCTGGACGCGCGGCGAATGGCAGGAACTCGACGTCGCTCTGGGTGGTGATGCGAGCCCAAGTTGCTTGACGAACTCGAGGCTCCAGAAGATGAAGCGCCTGTGATATTCCGGGCATCATTAGCATATAGAATCTCAGATGCAGGCAAACCCTACTCACCTGAAGTAGGTTGGTGAACGTCATGCGGCGGGTTGAGAAAGGTTGAGGTGCTGCGATGGGGAGCAGTTGAAGGAGGAGCAGATCCAAACTGGATGCTGGCCCCGGAAGATGGTGCTTGAACTGTACCTCCAGTAGATTCTGACATCTCGATCTGGGGAGGATTTGGGGCTCCTGCAAGGTGTTCTGAGCTGGTTTGTGCTACGGAAGGAGTTGATGTATTCACAGAGTGGGAAGCTGTGTTAAAGGCGCTGTGGCGAGGTGCAGCATTCTGTCCACCAAAGTTCCTCTCAGAGCTGGTATAGAACGGCTGGCCTTGTGCCGGATGGCCTGCTGGCAGAGCTGTCGGAAAATTGAATCTGACCGGAGGGAGCTGCGTATGAGGGAACGACGGCTGCATGGTTGGAGGGCCTACCATCTCGCTTGGGGGTGCCCCCGAGTAGCCACCAGCCACATTGCCAAAGTTCGGAACAGGCACATGGTTGTAGTAAGGCGCCTCAGAGGCCGAGTTCGAAGGCCGGTGCTGGGGTGCCGGATGTCCCCGGTGGTTCATCATCTGAGGTTGGTGTTGCCAGTGATATGGCCCAGGTAGCGGTGGTCCTTGAGGTTGCCAACTTGTGTAGTTCGCTGAGGAGTGAACAGGGTCGTAGTGCATTGTTGAGCGGTGCTGTGGCATCCCAGGGAGTTGCTGTTGGCCTTCTCTGTTAAGAAAGTAAGGACATCGTGGTCGCTGCTGTGCGTACGGATTCTGTGCCTGACTCTGAGACTGCTCCGGATGGTGGTATGCGTAATCCATGGCTTCGTCCATGCTGTAAATCCCTTCCACCGTTGCGTGAGAAAAGTCCTCTAGACTGTCGCTGTGAAGCCGGCTTCTGAATTTCAGCTCAGGATTGCCTGTATTGGAGAATCACAGTCTCTCTTTCACCCAATAACCTGGCTCTCTCCTTTATTCCCCTCCTTTTTGTCGCTTAATTCTCCTGTTTGTATGCAGCTGCAGGGCGTCGCTCGCTTGCTTTCTCTGAGCCCTTATTCAATCGACCAGAAGGTGCGTTCGTCGTCGTACAAGCTGCCGGTGATTGAGGCAAGCGGGTCGTTGAAGTGAGGGGGGTCCGAAATGAATGTGGTCTGTGGCAAGTCGTCGTGGACTGACTGGAGGGGTAGATGCGGGTGAGTCTGGCTGGGGGTTTCGGAATGCGTTCACGGAATGCGTTCAACTAAAAGTCGCTGCTGATTTTATCGATTGGTGATAAAGAGTTTCCAAGGTCGGCTCGAAATGTTTTTTCCCCAGTGACCCATCGAGGTTTATTTTCCGGTGTAGTTCGTGTCCTCGAGGCGTGAAACGCAAGGTGCTCAAATCTCCAGCCTCAGTTTATTGGTACGTGGGGTGGTAGAGGCGGAATGAAGTGTAAGAGTCGGGCGGGGCGTGAGGCGGCTGTGAGGTGAGGGGCGCTGCTGCTAAGACACTGGGATGGGCCGCTGGATCATGCCGCTTTCAGAAGTTAGTCGGATGTTCGCAAAAGAGCGGGATGCAGGCGTCTGTCTTATTTGGCTGTAACAGGTAAGATGCAGCCTGGGTAAGGACGATGGACTTTAATGCCGTGAGGAATTAAGAAAAAAAAATTGAGTGAGGAAAAACAGACTGCTGGGCATTCCTCGTAACAAGCTGATAGTAAGAGCGGTCTGTGTCTCTTAATCTGCTTGTTCGCTCTTGCTCTTGTCGCAGGGCAGTGATGGAGTAGGGATGAAAGGAGGAGCGTGTAAGAGGATTGTGCGTGGGAGCCATTCAAGGCGGGGAATCGAGGCAGAGGGATGGGATACCTTTTATGGATGCAGTGTGTATGAGTATCGTTGAGAGTGACTACTCAGTCGGAGGCTAAGTAAGGTGAGATGGGCCAAGTAAGGCAGTGAAAGGAACAGAGTGAGGGTGAAGGCAGCCTGTTCGTCTTCTTATTAGGTAGACGAAAAGAGGGGTGAAGGTGACGGTGACTCGATGGGTTTCGGTTTCTCTTGTGACAGGCCGCATACGTCGTGACGCCGATGTCGCCGAGCAAGGGATATTGGTCGATGGGGTTCGGGAGGGAGACGTTGGAAGGTTAGGTTAGGTTCACGAGCGGTCGGTGGGCGGCGAAGAGTATCGGTGAGACGACGATGGCTCGAGAAGAGAGGAAGAAGTGGGAAGAAGAGACGAGAGACGGCTTCCAGGGGGGTGGAAAAGGAAAGGGAAGGCGCGGCAAGGAAAGAGGGGTGGGCAGGCAGTCTTGGGTTTTGTATCTCGTCGCAGGCAAGAAGGAAGGGAACCTTGGGGACACCAGACACCAGACACCAGACGCCAGACAGACAGACAGACAGACAGACAGACAGACACCACCACTTATTGAGGCAAGGTGTATTAGTCGGTAGGCAAGAAAGGTCGGGTCGACAGGGCCATGGATGAGCGACGGAGAGACGGAGGAGAACACTCCAGCCAGGCAAGGTCTAAGAGACAATGGGAAATGGGTGGAAGGGAACCGGAAGGGAAGACGAGGCGAGGTCAAGACAAGGCACCGGAAGCCAAAACAAAAGCCCACCTTGGAGCTCACCACCCCCAGAGGTATAAGTCAGGTATCTCGCCCACACTCACACTCACACTCACACTCGACCCTCACGAAGGACAGGCTTGGAACAAGACCAGTGATGATGGAGCCCTCCGCAGAGTGTCCGGGCAATGACACCGGGATGGGGGCGGACTAGCGAGACCATACATACGTACATGTGCAGAAAGAGTGAGGGAAACCATGCACCAAAACGGGACCGAGTTGGTAGACTGCACAATCAATACGGTTGGTCTGGGCTGGGTTGGACCGGTCTTTACTTTACGGTACTACTAGCCAGCCAGATATTACTACCGCTACTCCTCCTCCTCCTCCTCCTCCGATGATCCAAAGGGCAGCCCATGACCGGGACCATGTTCCATGTCCAGAAAGTCATGTCGTTGCAGGGCAGAAAGGGCGGTAATTATGGGATGGGTTGGATTGCTTTGCTCCAACAGGATTGGATTGGACCATAGCGAACCAAAGACGACGAAGCAAAGTGCCGCAACGCAAAGCACAGCACACTGCACACAGCACTACTTCGTACACACAGCACAACATGGGCAGAGCAGGCAGGGAAAGGCAAGGGCGTGGCATAGCATGGCGCTGCACTCCCGCCAGGGAAGACGACAGACCATAACCCAATGGGGGCTCGGGTCAGGGAGCAAGGGCAAAAAAAAAGACCGGGACTCAGGAGACGACTTGCCATGAGAAGACGATACACGCTGGGGGTACGGTGCGGAAGTAAGTGTGAGAGTCAGAGACGACTGGGTGAGCGCCGAGCAAGAGACTTGCAGGGCTATGCGCATCCGCCGGTCCAGTCCAGTTCTCAGGTGAGGGCCATTTTGTTCCCATCCAACGAGGGGCATTTGGGTTTGCATTTTGCCCTCACAATAATGCTACATCCGACTCGCCCATCCTTTGGCCCTCTCACCTCACCTCAGGACCCCACGAAGCCTTCTCTCCGGTGACCGAACGGAGAGTATGACCGAGCCCACCAAGAACAACAACAAGCAGTAAGAGCAAACCAAACCGGGGCCGGAACAGACTGAATATTGGACGTGGCTGTCTGTCGGGAACAGCGACAGGATCAGTCTGGAAGAGAAAAATGACGGAAATTCGACCGCATGGCCTAGTCCAGGCTGGGCGGGTGCTGATTGCTGGTGCCGCTGTTGGCAAAGATGTTTATTATTCATTGCTAATTCGGGTGCCGGTCTACCGATACGGCGGAAATGTGTTGGGTGACTGGGTACGGCTACCTTGTGCGATGCCCTCATTTTGTTCGCAGTGGTGTTTCCCACGTCAATGTTCCACATGTAAGCAGGCCCGGCCCTGGGATGTGCGTGGCTCCGTCTCTTTGGAGGGGCAAGCTATGCGACATGGACTGCGCTGGGCGAGGGTTAAATGAATAGTCCCTGTCGGGCGCTCATCAGGCTTTGGAAGCGGAAGCTGGAAGCGGATGAAGAGAGGCAGAAAGAAAAAGGCCAAGACAAGTTCGGATCTGAGAGTCAGTGAGCCACGAATACACCGTACTTGCGTGGGTATTCGTACTCTACACTTCCCTTGCCCTTCCCTTGAGACTGAGAGTAACCTTTTGCAGCCTGCCTGGCTAGTGCCCTGTCCGAGGTGAGCCACCAAAAGTGAGCGAGACGTGAGCAACCTTACCAGACATGGGTAGCAAGCGGGTGTGTTTGGGTCTCTGTTGTCTGTTCGGATCCTACGGGGGCGGGCGGGTGTCAGTTGGCGGCGGCAAGGCACCTTTCCTTTCCTAAACACTTTCAGAGGCGGCGAGGGAAGAGACGAATTGTGATACGCCCAAGACTGGGTCGAGACCAGGTCACAAGCATCGTCTTCAATGGTGGATGGGCGGTGGTTGATGGTGGCGGCGGTGGACAGGGCTCTAGAGGCTTGAGGATGTACTGCAAGTTGCAGCTAGGTCTCGTCATTGCCAACAGGTGTCGCCTTTCTCTAGAACCATATATTGATCATTGCAGAAACCATGTAAGCTGGTATCCGCAGTTGATCATTTGTGGGCGGATTGATGCACACGGGCGGTAGACTGAAAGTTTCGTTGCTCTCAAAGAACCATACATGATCGATTGAGCCGGGGCCTCGGGAGCGTTGCGAAGAATGAAAGAGTTGGCGACGGAAGAGCACCTTATCCATTATCGACCACATCCATGATCCAGCTGGGCTGAAGGCCCGAACAGATGGAGGAAAATGAAGGGAGTCGTCGCTGCTGGAGGCGTACAAAGTGAGATGTATCAGGAAAAGCGGGCGCTGGCGGGAATGCAAGCGCACCGCATCGGCACATCAGCATGTTGGCATCATAATCAGAGTCAGCAGCCCAGCAGATTGCTGCCATTTGGAAGCGACGATATGCTGGCCTGCCGAAAACGTCTGAGTATGGACAAATGCTCTTTCCGAGGTTTGCTAGTCTAGAGTCTACGCATTTCTGCACGCTGATCAGACTGACAGACGGAGCTGAGAATCCACTCACTTATCATTCTTCAGCTGTCCCCTCCGAGGGAACTCCCAAAACTCCGCCGTGATTCCACCGGGCATCATCATGTCGTGACCAGGTCGTGAAAGGACGAAACCTTTCGGCCGTGGTGCGAAAGCGGTATGTATGTAAACGTCAACGACCAGGGGGCATGGGGTGTGTCAGTAGGTCGCAACGGCAGTCCTGGGTCCTGGCTTCAGTTGGTCAGCTCCATCTAAGTGTGAGTGAGGTGCTCACATGAACCACCTGAGCTCGGCCGGTCCAAGCAGGGCAACCACTCAATAATACCACACACTCACAGTGTTCTTCAAAAGGTATCAAGTATCAATAAATACGATCCAGTACCCTTGCCCCGGATGAATGGCCTGTGAGGCTGTGACTAGACACGTTTGTCGTCACTCTATTCTGCGAGCTCCTCAAAGGCTCACAGCACACCTGGTAGGCTGGCTTGTTATCTAGCCGGAACGCGTGGCTGGCCTTGGTTCTCACCTCAGTGGGCACAGCATGGCTGACTGGGCTTGCAGGATACTGGCATGACGATAGTGAGAAGGTGTTGGCGACCCTGTAGGCTGTAAGGTAATCACCACCAATGCTCTGCATGCTCTCTGTCGGTGGCACTACAGACCCAAGCCAATTCCCATGCGATGGAAAGAAAAATACACTACCGCGTATTCAATAGCTCGCTGCCACCACAAACGACAACTCATGGCCGAATTTCCACAGGAAGCTGCGCTGAAAGTAGTATGGCTTCGGGTGTGGGAGGCTGTCTGGGGTCCGTGTGATTCCCTGAGAGCAACCAGGGCCGGGCGGCTTTTGTGAGTGAGGAGGGTGAGAGTGAGAGTGAGAATGAGAGTGAGACTAACACACAACTAAGGCAGGCTTGTCAGGTGTTACGAAACTCAACTTGATCGACCAGTCGCACGCGCCATATGCGAGCCTTTCGCAGCACCAGCATGTTTTCGGCTTGTTATACATGAAGACGGCCTTAACACCCGCCATGTACCCTGCCTGACGTCCTCCACTATCCGTTCTGCCTGTGCTGTGGTTTTGCCTGCTAAGACAAGTGAGGTATCCGTATGGATAGTCGTCTCGTACTTTCTGCCCTTGGGAAATCTGGACTTGTCGCCTTCCCTT